ATACGTTATTAAGAAGTAAATGTGTAAAATACGTTATTAATGGGTAAATATATAAAATACGTTATTAAGAAGTAAATATGTAAAATACGTTATTAAGGAGTAAATATATAAAATACGTTATTAATGGGTAAATATATAAAATACGTTATTAAGAAATAAATATGTAAAATACGTTATTAATGGGTAAATATATAAAATACGTTATTAAGAAGTAAATATGTAAAATACGTTATTAAGGGGTAAATATATAAAATACGTTATTAAGGGGTAAATATATAAAATACTTTATTAAGGAGTAAATATATAAAATACGTTATTAAGAAGTAAATATATAAAATACGTTAGTAAGGAGTAAATATATAAATACTTTATTAAGAAGTAAATATATAAAATACGTTATTAAGGAGTAAATATATAAAATACGTTGTTTAGGAGTAAATATAAAAAATACGTTATTAAGGAGTAAATATAAGAAATACGTTATTAAGGAGTAAATATATAAAATACGTTATTAAGGAGTAAATATATGAAATACGTTATTAAGGAGTAAATAAAGTATATAATCTACCTTACTACCTTACTGATAAAAAGTTAGGACTTACGGCAAGGATGATAGCATCTAGATGACAGCAGCGCATTGGAAAAGTGACGTTTGAACGAAATGAGTCATAACAAGTGTAATATCTACCATGTGAGAAGTTGAATTCTTCGAAAGTTAGGAGAATTTATAACATTATATCAAAACAACTTTAAATAAGCAAGTCACGTGACAGCCACAGCCGATATAAAGTCGCGGTGGAACAGACTGTATCAGAACTATATTTTGATATTATTTGGCCTCCATTGGTAGTGTGATGCCAACGAAAATTAATCACTTTTGAAACAACCCTTTCTGGCGCAAAATGTTTATATGCTCAAGTTATAAACATATGTTCAGACTGAATATTTAGAACTTCAAACAGCACAGGGGTATTCTTTCTACTTGATGGCATTGGCAAAATAAACGAAATGGATCATCTTAGGGTACCTGGACTATTGAGAAAGAGACCTGCAACAACTGTTGCCCCAGCTGGTAAAAAAAAGGTGCATCCTGTGAAAGGTAAGAAATCATGAATACAAAGGTCAGTTGTCCTCGTGCCCCAAGTAACACTGCACAACATAATCAATAACTACCTCTATCTGAAAAATAGACACAAGTCTCGTGTACACAGAAGACTTCCACGACATATCTTTTGAACGGTCGCATACCTCAAGCAGATAGAAAATGAAATAGGTATTCATGCTGTTCGTTACGAATACACACCAGATATTCAAATGGGCGCTGGAGAATTGTCACCGTCATACTTTAGATGGATTATGGAAAGGGTGCATGGAGGAGTGGTGCGCTTTTGATATGACAGTACCTTACGGTGGAGTCCTTTTTGCAAATGGAAACTATGCTGTAGGATTATTTTCAAGATGCACAGCCATCAGGTAGAACATGACCAGACATGGTGACATGGACTGTAACACGAATCTCCAAAATCATTTTAATATAACGTACCCAACCTCTGAACTACACACATTTATTCAACCTAATGATTATTTAAGCTGTTCTGATCAATAATATAAATCTGGTGAAGTTTATTGAAATTTGCTCAATATATGATAATGTTCCACTTCTTTACCAACATATCGCCTACCCGAATATTTTCTATCAAAGTTTAGGTTTACTTGGTTCTGCTCTAGCTTTTATCCAAAAGTTCGTGCAGGTGGAGCTCAAATGTTTACTACTTTAAACTTACACATAGAAAATTATGTAAATTATTTTACTTGTGTTAACTTTACAAACAACTTATTTACCTGTGTTAACTTTACAGACAAACTTTCTCACCTGTGTTAATTTTATAAAAATTTTTTTTACCTGTGTTAACTTTACAAACAAACTTTTTCGTACAGGTGTTAACTTTACAACCTTTATAACCTGTTTAAACTTTACAATCTTTCTTACCGATGTTAACTTTACAAACAAATGGCAGCTTCTCCTCACATGACGTGACATTCCAAGGTCCATTCTTAAGAAACGATACACACAGCTGCTGGGAACTTGAAGTTGATGTTACTGGCTGACCTCGACCCCAGTTGGTAAAATACACTGGCCATTGGTCAGTCCAGCGGAAACGATTTTCATCCTGTAGTTTAATAAGGAATAAGATATTACGTTGTATCAACCTAATTAATTTATTTTATTGATCAAAAATACACATAATTTGAACATAAAGATTGAGGAGATAACTTAGTCGTCATAAAATGTATTTAAATGTTCTCTTCGAATCACAAATTTTATGCGTTCAAAATTGCTACTAGTTAAACCAAGGGATGAGAGTTATGAATGAACGGTGTTGTTGTAGTTAATCCAAGGGATGAGAGTTATGAATGAACGATGTTGTTGTAGTTAATCCAAGAGATGAGAGTTATAGATGAACGATGTTGTTGTAGTTAATCCAAGTGGTGAGAGTTATAGTTGAACGATGTTGTTGTAGTTAATCCAAGTGGTGAGAGATATAGATGAACGATGTTGTTGTAGTTAATCCAAGGGATAAGAGTTATAGATGAACGATGATGTTGTAGTTAATCCAAGTGGTGAGAGTTATGAATGAACGGTGTTGTTGTAGTTAATTCAAGGGATGAGAGTTATGAATGAACGGTGTTGTTGTACTTAATCCAAGGGATGAGAGTTATAGATGAACGATGTTGTTGTAGTTAATCCAAGTGGTGAGAGTTATAGATGAACGATGTTGTTGTAGTTAATCCAAGTGGTGAGAGTTATGAATGAACGGTGTTGTTGTAGTTAATCCAAGGGATGAGAGTGTTATGAATGAACGGTGTTGTTGTAGTTAATCCAAGTGGTGAGAGTTATGAATGAACGGTGTTGTTGTAGTTAATCCAAGTGGTGAGAGTTATGAATGAACGATGTTGTTGTAGTTAATCCAAGTGGTGAGAGTTATGAATGAACGGTGTTGTTGTAGTTAATCCAAGTGGTGAGAGTTATAAATGAACGATGTTGTTGTAGTTAATCCAAGTGGTGAGAGTTATGAATGAATGGTGTTGTTGTAGTTAGTCCAAGTGGTGAGAGTTATGAATGAACGGTGTTGTTGTAGTTAATCCAAGTGGTGAGAGTTATAGATGAACGATGTTGTTGTAGTTAATCCAAGTGGTGAGAGTTATGAATGAATGGTGTTGTTGTAGTTAATCCAAGTGGTGAGAGTTATGAATTAACGGTGTTGTTGTAGTTAATCCAAGGGATGAGAGTTATAGATGAATGGTGTTGTTGTAGTTAATCCAAGTGGTGAGGGTTATAGAAGATAAGGTGTTGTTGTAGTTAATCCAAGTGGTGAGGGTTATAGAGGATAAGGTGTTGTTGTAACTGACCTACTGTATGTGATGTATAGAGAAACAACCTCAGCCTGAAACTTACGGTTTTAGATCCAAAGCCAATCCATGTGTTACTCGAGGTTTTTTTCAGAAACAAATGTAGAAAGGCTTGCTCGTAGGGACTCACTACTGATGCCAGATGGCCTTTTTCCTCTTGGCAATAATACTCAGCATCTTTCCACGTATTCTTACTGTTGTACACTCGGTAACAGCCTTGACCATAAGACACGTAGTTCGATAGTGAGCCATTACAATAGTAATTCACGTTCTGCTCGGGAAGATTTTGGTCTGCATCAGAGAAAAGTAGTCTAAATGACAATCTAGTGAGCGTGGTCAGTTTTAACTTACATCAGATATCCAACCATCCCTTCATAGGAGAAGATGGTAAGATCCTCCTTAACCTTGTGACAGTAAAAAAATGTAACGAAATACAGATATAAGTCGAAAATTGGACACCATTTCTTATTCATAGGCTATTGGTAGACACAAACTTATTTATTGCTTAAAACAAACAAACACTGGACACTGGTTCTCACCTTTAGACTGTTGACAAACATAACCTTGTTTCTTAGACTGGACACTGATACTCACCTTTAGACTGTTGACAAACATAACCTTGTTTCTTAGACTGGACACTGGTTCTCACCTTTAGACTGTTGACAAACATAACATTGTTTCTTAGACTGGACACTGGTTCTCACCTTTAGACTGTTGACAAACATAACCTTGTTTCTTAGACTGGACACTGGTTCTCACCTTTAGACTGTTGACAAACATAACCTTGTTTCTTAGATTGGACTCTGATACTCACCTTTAGACTGTTGACAAACATAACCTTGTTTCTTAGACTGGACACTGATACTCACCTTTAAATTGTTGACAAACATAACCTTGAGTCTTAGACTGGACACTGATACTCACCTTTAAATTGTTGACAAACAACCTTGAGTCTTAGACTGGACTCTGATACTCACCTTTAGACTGTTGACAAACATAACCTTGTTTCTTAGATTGGACTCTGATACTCAGCTTTAGACTGTTGACAAAAATAACCTTGTTTATAAGATTGGACACTGATACTCACCTTTATACTGTTGACAAACATAACCTTGGTTTTCAGAGCAAGAACTATCGATCCATTTCCCAGCTCTTATAGATGCTGCTATCATTGTAACACATCGTTTCTAAAACAAGCAATAATACATATTAACAATTACATTTTCGGGTTTAATATATCTTTTCAAAGCCTACTTTTTTCAAATATAAAACAATAATTTAATAAAGCAGCATACCTTCAATTCTATAACATTCTGTTTCTGTTATATTTATAGAATTATAATCAAATTTGGTTGCTTTGAGTAAACTGATATTTGATTGGTTTACTGGCACTACCTAAACTATTTTTTTATTGGTTTATTGGCACTACCTAAACTGTTTTTGATTGGTTTATTGGCTCTACCTAAACTGTTTTTTATTGGTTTACTGGCACTACCTAAACTGTTTTTTGATTGGTTTATTGGCTCTACCTAAACTGTTTTTTGATGGGTTTACTGGCTCTATGTATTTCCATAGTCAAGAGATGTGTAATATACAGATGTTTTTTATGTATATTTTCACAAAACAACTTTTATAACTTGATTTTTACATTCACTGATAACCAACTCTTACACTCTCAGACTTACTTTTACATTCACTGATAACCAACTCTTACATTATCAGGCTTACTTTTACATTCACTGATAACCAGCTCTTACATTCTCAGGCTTACTTTTACATTCACTGATAACCAACTCTTACATTATCAGGCTTACTTTTACATTCACTGATAACCAACTCTTACATTATCAGGCTTACTTTTACATTCACTGATAACCAGCTCTTACATTCTCAGGCTTACTTTTACATTCACTGATAACCAGCTCTTACATTCTCAGGTCTTACTTTTACATTCACTAATAACCAACTCTTACATTATCAGGCTTACTTTTACATTCACTGATAACCAACTCTTACATTCTCAGGCTTACTTTTACATTCACTGATAACCAACTTTCACATTCTCAGGCTTACTTTTACATTCAATGATAACCAACTCTTACATTATCAGGCTTACTTTTACATTCACTGATAACCAACTCTTACATTATCAGGCTTACTTTTAAATTCACTGATAACCAGCTCTTACATTCTCAGGCTTACTTTTACATTCACTTATAACCAACTCTTACATTCTCAGGCTTACTTTTACATTTTCAGGCTTACTTTTACATTCACAATGTAAAACAAAAATATCAATGTCTGAATATTTATTTATTAATCTGAAACTTGAAACTGTTAAAATTTAGGAAATTTGAAAGAGAATGCCATTTTTTTTATGTTGATGCAAAATTCCTAGTTCCCACTGCAATGCTTTAGAGGTATGGGTGTGAGTGGAGCAATGTAAGGGTTAACGAACTTTTAAACAGGATATATAAATCAGTAATACAATGGTGGCGCCATCTTTTAGTGGGTTATATAGTTACTCTTCATTAGTGTGAATACATGTAATGTTGTTTCCAAGCGTTTATCCAAAATATTGAAATACCTTGAAAAACCGTAGACAAAACATCTCGCACACTTACTGTTTCTTATACTTGCATCGATGATAATGTATTACCACGGGATTTCTCTAAAGACCTTGGGTAAAAACATTATTCCCTTCCTCCCCAAACAAAGCCAAAATAGACTACTAGAAAATAACTCACCCAATAATACCTCGGACTACCAGGTGCCCAGTTGACAAAAGAAACACGTGTGTTGTCCACCCAGCCGAAAATTCTCGAAGTAATACCAGCTGAGCTTAACTTGCTGAGTCCGATCCACACATTAAACGGATTGTACAGTAGCATGCTGGTCAGCAGAACTATAACAAATATGAATTTTAATTCAGTGTTACCAGTGACATCTATTAAGAAATATGTTAACCATTCCTTAAAAATATGAATCTTTTTAACCTAATCCTCCCTCAAATTGGCCATTAGATTTGTTCAAGGTAGCTAATTTACTTTAACAGACGGACATATGGATTTATTAGAGAATTTCGAGTTACACTTAAATTATAACGGTCAGTTTAATTTTTTTCGAAAAATTGCAAATAGGACAGGAAAATACGATTTAATATAAAATGTTTGAACAAATTGTGTTTACAAAAAAAAATTAAGAATTGATTTTAAAAGTTGGAAATATAAGATATTTATTATTGTTTCTTGCACCTTCTTTATCAGCAGTGTTGTTCAATATTCAACAGAATAATATTGGTCTATTTTACTTTTCATAGATGAGGTTATGATATTTACACAAGTATAATAGGACAGATGTTCCAGCCTTCTATCAGACGTATTGATCTATTTTACTTTTCATAGATGAGGTTATGATATTTACACAAGTATAATAGGACAGATGTTCCAGCTTTCTATCAGACGTATTGGTCTATTTTATTTTTCATAGATGAGGTTATGATATTTACACAAGTATGATAGGACAGATGTTCCAGCCCTTCTATCAGACGTATTGATCTATTTTACTTTTCATAGATGAGGTTATGATATTTACACAAGTATGATAGGACAGATGTTCCAGCCTTCTATAAGATGTATTGATCTATTTTACTTTTCATAGATGAGGTTATGATATTTACACAAGTATAATAGGACAGATGTTCCAGCCTTCTATCAGACGTATTGATCTATTTTACTTTTCATAGATGAGGTTATGATATTTACACAAGTATAATAGGACAATGTTCCAGCCTTCTATTAGATGTATTGTACTATTTTTAATTTCGTAATAGAGACTATGATATTAGGTAAATCATAAAAATGGATATTAATATACTATATCAATAAACCAAAAGGTTCTGGTGAAAATATGCCTGATGAACTTTGTTTCGTATAAAAAAAGTGATTTTTCTTTTAAAGCGAACTATTTTCCCATATAAACTGTATGCATACATATATATACACCTGGAAAAAAGTTAAGCACCCCCAAATATTTTTCAGGA